GCGCTTGTCTAAACTCACTGTCGTCGTCGTCGTCGCCGCTCTCTGTTTTTTGGAAAACTTTTTACTGGTATTTTGCACTCTGTTTTGTTGTTGTTTTTTTACCGCATTTGCTTTGGACTTACATTATGCTTCCTTACTTGTGCACACTGCCCTACCCCCCATATCAAGTCCCTCCTCTTGTCAAAGCGCAAAGAAAGTCTCCTTTCCTTTCTGCTTTTTTAGCGTCGACTAGGGCTATGTACTGGGATGTTATGACTTCCGTTCGGTGTTCGTTTGCGCGGCGAATTCTGGGCGAACCCTATCGGCAGGTTGCTTTAGCTGAATTTATAGGGGTTCACAGGGGGAGTAAACCAAAGTTGACTTTTGACTCCATTAAAACCACTGATTGCACTAACACCTCTTTCTGAGGTTGAAGTCCTTTGTGTGCAACTGCAAATCATTAATTTAACGACGCTAGGTGACATTTGCACGGGTACAGAACAAGGCTTCTAGCCCTGAGCTTCTAAACTACTACAGGAGTTCACCATCAGAAATAAAAATAGCGACAATAGAAGGTAGTTGTAGGAGCTATATACCAATCAACTCTTGGTGATGCTCGTTTGGACGTGACTGTATACGCCGGCGCCGGCGCCGAATCGATATATCGATCGATTGAGTTCCCATCTGTGGGCCAAGCTTCAATCAATTGTCGATTCGTCTTCGTTCTGATACGGGCGAGCATCTTGACAAGATGCGCCAAGAAGTGATTGAAGCCTGGCCTACGGATGAGAACTTAACCAATCAATATATCGATTTTGGAGACTTGCGCAGGCACCTCTAGACATGCGTCACTGACCGTTGACTGTTGTATACCCCTATAATTGTCCCCTTTTTGCTGCTGTTCCTTTCAAGATGAATTCCTGCAAGAGTTTGAAGGCTCACGACAATAAAGCAATTGTTCCAGTGTTCAACAAGCCTTCTCCTTAACCCATGCAAAAGCTTGGAAGACGAACTTTATCATCCATTCCCGGTACAATTTGCCGCAAAGCGGCGCTGAATGCACGAGAGCCGTGTACGTCTAGTGTGGGTTCTACCAGCCAAAATTAACTGGCATTTTCCGACTACTTTTCTGAGTGCTGACAGCCGAAAATCCTAAGGTCATCTCTTGGCGTCATTTACATGAGAAGGGAATGTTGGGTTTTAAACTACACTCCTGCCCTGGCACTAAATCAATTTAAATATGTTTTTGTCAACATTTTAATTTATGCAGTTTTTGGAAGAAGTTGGCTTTGAAGTGCGAATTCGTGGTGAATAGAACCTGTGTACCTTTTACTCATCTATCGTTTTGGTTCAGTCTATTGCGGGCTATTCAGCATTGCTTCGAACATATGAACTAGTCTCGTTTATTAAAGCTTTTTTGTTTATATGCGATACGCATAGGACTTCGAATTTTAGTGTCTACGCCTCATGCAATTTTGAGAGACAGACAGAGAGAAATACGCTTTATTCTGAAGGTGGTATCCAACATTTTTCGCCAAAAATGGATGCATTCACTGAGACCAAGAGATAACTTAACAAAAAATACTCAGAAATATACAGCTTTACATAAACTCCACATCTGTTATGGAGAGATGTGTAGCATCAGCTTCTAATAAGCGTTTCTTTACACATGAGGTAGCGTGCTAGGAACGGCAGTTCAGAATGCCGATATGCGGCAGGACATTTCGGAAGCAATGGCGCACAGTATGGATAGACTTCATTTCCATTAATTTATAGTGGAGTAAATTAGCAACCTCATCAAGAATGTGATCAGCAAACTGCTTGGCTATTGTAAAGTGTTGCTTTGCCATAATATCAGCTTAAAAAGCATAGGAAACACCGACGGCGGCGGAAGAAAGCATTTGGGGGATAGGTCTATAATCAGCAAGTCCTCTTTAAGCAAGGCTAGACAAATAGCCGGAAAGCAGTAGGAAATGAGCAGGGGATTAACGGATTATGTGTCCTTGTTATTCTGCAAGAGGTCATGAGCACTCATGTAGCCGGTCAAGTTCCCTCTGTGACCGTCATTTTCCCTTCGTCTGTTGAGTTTAAGCCCACACAGACCCGGTGCTGCTTTTACTCCCCTAAGGGGCCGTACTGAGTTATCCATTGTTTAAAAGCTTTTTCGTCGAAAGGCCGCCTCTATTTGCTTAGGAACTGATCGCTATCAGCGTCAATGTGGGAGGGCCCGTCAACCGTTTCAAAAACAAAATGTTTTGTTTATGTCAGTTTCTCGTTAACTTTTGTCATATCAGATAAAGATGTTTATTTTTCTTGAGTGGAAGCGACTGCCCTTTTTGGCAAGAATAAGTGCACTCGAGCCTATTTATTTTTCTGAATTTATGGGAATCCAGGACGTCGAGTCAGATGAACGTACATTTTTGATCATTCATCGTCAGACGAATACAATAATATAAGGGGCGTAGAGTGAACAAACATTTGTTAAGCAGCCAATCGGTACTTACGCTACTGGGCTAGGTATTAGGAATGTAGGGGTTTATGTCATGGTTGTGTCTAGATCACTGCAATCATCAGGTCGAATCCCAGGTTGGAAGTGAAAAGGCAAGAGTCACCAAAATGAGGGGTTTATTGTATAAAGAACTCCCAGTTCCAGTCTCACGTGGCAATGGCCACTGGCGAAGCCAAGGCTGGTCCTGAATACGTCCAGCCAGGCCAGAGAGTGTCGACTGTGTGTGTGTGGGGATGATGACAGTTGCTTTTACATGACTGTGAAGCGAATTCAAGTGTCCTGTCATTGGTGTGTTGCAATTGCCCGAGTGGATGTTG